GCGTCTGGGCATGGCCCTCCTGAACAACACTGCCCTACAGAAACAGCAAACCTCCCTGGCAGAGACGGTGAAGCACCTGATAGGCTTGGTGTCCCAGTGCAACCGTACGTACGCTTCCTCAGATGGGGTTTGGATTGCCAGTTCAGGATCATCCCAGGCTTCTAGGTCAAAACTTGAGATGTAGGGATGGTCCCTGGTGATATCATTAAGCATTTTGCATTAAGTACCAGCCACAGTTGCTCCAAGATTGTCATTCAAAAACCACAGAGAGCATATACTTTCCTGTTGGAAATTAAGCAGAAATCTTGCTAAAGGAGCCATTCCCAGATCAAGATGAAAGGAGGGGGTAACTTCTTCTCACTTTTTCAGGGTGACAGGATAAGGAAGCTTTAATCTATCTTATTTACTTGGAGACAAAAGGTGGATGCAGAGCAGAGGGTGAGTCCTTTCACCACAACAGCTGGAAAGGAAGGAGGAAGTTAACCAAGTAATACATTCTAGAGAGTCTTTGCAAGTTGTAGAAACAAATGAACGCAGCCTTGAAAACTGTATCAAGCTTGTGGTCTCCAAGCTGAGTTGGAGATTTGCACAAAGCCTTTTCCTCTTGCCTAAAACTGAGCTTATTTACAGAATATGCACCCACATCTCCCAGCTGAGCTATGATGAGCTATGAAAATTGGACACACAAGGTCACACCCTGAGATCTGGCAAACTTGGTGGTCATGATGATGGTGATGGCTTCTTCTGACCCTCCTGATGTTGATGGATTTCAACTCCCGTCAGCCTTAGCCAGCAGAGTCTTTATAATGTGGGTCGATGGGTGTCCAACAACATCTAGAACAGTCTACTTCCTCAGATGCATTTGGTGGAGTGAGAAAGTAGACTGAAGTCTATGAAAGCTCATGCTGCCTACTTCTTTCTTTCAGTCTCTAAGGTGCTACAAGATCTCTCTACATACTGATTCTACAGACTAACATGACTATATCTTCGAAAATCTAGAACAGTGTTTCTTAAGCTCTGTGGTGTCATGGACTGGCAATCCCCCATGGACTAGTACCATATTTGTGCCCATTGGCTACAACTGTTTTTATTTTCTTTTCTGGAAATTCACCATGGCGCAGCAGCTGATGGCATCACAGTTCCATGGATCACCACTTTGAGTACGCTGCCCTTTTGTTTTTGCCAAGCAGTGATGGCCAATTCAACCCTGGCCCAAAGAGAAGACATTTTAATCTGAGTCCCCCAGGCCATGCCTGATTTACAACAGGGCAGAGCTAGGAAAGTTACTTTTTAAAAGTATCCCCACACTCACACCGGTACTAATTATATTCTTTACCAATTAATTATTTGTCTTTATTTATTGTGAACTTTAAAAAATAACTTATGGCATCATTATGTTGGTTGGTACTTTAAAAAAAAAAAAAACAGCCTTAGGTTTGATAAGAGGAAGCCATAAACCTTTGAAAAATTCCTGTAAAAATACCAAATACCTAACAATAGCCTTAGAAATTAATTTTGAAGTAAGTAGAAAATATTATTTGTGGCACTAGCAAAAGTGGCAGTTCTCTTTCATTACATTAATTTTGAAGTGTCACTTCATTGTGTCCAAAAAGTAACTCATTACAGTTACATGTAACTACTGCAACTCTATTTCAGAGGCTCTTTGCGACAATGGAAAATGTTTTTCTTTATACTCTAATCATGTCCAGATGTCATCAATATTGGTTGAATTCTACTCTAATAGAGGAGCACAATATCTTGTAGAGGGGCTTTTTAGCCCTACAAAAATGCACACAGATGAAAATCCCCCAAATTTGACAGTTGTACTAAAACAACAACAACAACAACCCACCCCTTCTTTATCTGACCCTTGCAGGAATTTCACTTGCCCACTTAGAAGAGCAGAGGACATTCAAGGATTGTGCGGCTGCCTACAAACTGGGATTCACCAAAAGCGGAGTCTATACTATAAGGTTCCCCAATACCACAGCTACTGCTAAAGTGAGTCTGAGCACCAATGGCTTTTATGATTCTGAATGAATAGGAAGTGAACCATTGATATGCAGGATGAGAGCCTTTGTAGCTGAAGAGTGGGGTATAAATACTCTAAATAAATAAATAAATAATGTCTGTCTCACAGATGGAGTATATTTGGCCCATGGAGGTCTCCCTGCTCTAAGCCTTGTAGCCATCTTCAAGGAAGTTCCTATTATCACTGATCACTGATCAGAGATAATGGAGATTCCCTTACAGGGTTCGTTCCTCTTCTCCTTTCCCTACATGGTTCTTTGGGGCAATTCACACCACACCATTACATCCTTTTCAGTATTTAATAAATGAAACCTTCAAGTCACCTGTAGACTTAAGGCAGCCCCATAAATTGGAATATGCTGCTTCAGAGAGTGGTGGAGCCTCCTTCTTTGGAGGTTTTTAAACAGAGGCTGAATGGCCATCTGTTAGGAGGGCTTTAATGGTGTATTCCTGCATGGCAGAATAAGGCTGGACTTCATGGTCCTGGAGTCTCTTCCAACTCTATGATTCTCAGTCATCTTGAAGAAGAAGACTAGTCCTTGGAAGGGGAGCTATAGACAAGCTCCTGAAATGTAAAGATACATCACTGAATACTAAGGATTGTCCATGCCATTGTATTTCCAATTTCTATGTATGGTTGTGAAAGCTGGACAGTGAAGAAAGTGGATGGGAAGAGAACGGACTCATTTGAAATGTAGTTCTGGAGAAGAGATCTATGGATAACATGGACTGCTAAAAATGGGTCCTAGAGCAACTCAAGCCTGGACTCACCCTAGTAGCCAAGATGACTGAGACTGTTGTTCTTTGGTCATATCATAAGAAGACATGAACCTCTAGAAAAGATGCTAATACTTTGGAAGGTGGAAGGCAAAGAGGAAGAATGTATTCTAGACTGAGAGAATCAGGGAAGTTGCAGCCAAAAGCCTGTAAGACCTGATCAGGACTGTGACTTGGAGGTCTCTCATTCATAGGTCACCATAAGTCAAAGTCAACTTGATGGCAATCCATCGTATCCATAGAACTCTTCTCCAGTACATTTCAAATGAGTTGATTTTCTTCCTTTCAGTTTTCTTCATTGTCCAGCTTTCACAACCATACATAGAAATGGGAAATACAATGGTATGGACAAGCCTAACTTTAGTATTCAGTGATATATCTTGACACTTAAGGACCTTGTCTAGTTCCTTCATAGCTGCCTTTCCAAATCCCAGTCATCTTCTGATTTCTTGGTTGCAGTCTCCATTCTGATGAATGACTGACCCAAGATATGGAAAATCTTGAACTATTTCATCGCCTGCTATTTTCCCCCCAGCCAAGAGCTCTGATGCTGGTGGAATCTACTTGTGAGAAAAACACTCAGACAGGACAGGTTTCAGGGACAGAAGGCACAGCTTATTTGCTCTGTTCTGAATGTGGGCTGCTCTTTATAGTCAAACGCCTAGAGAATTTTCTCTGTCTTATTAACATACTACAATTTTGCCAGGTACTTTGTGACATGGAAACCAGCGGAGGAGGCTGGACTGTGATCCAACACCGGAAGGATGGGTCTATGGATTTCCAGCGCACCTGGAAGGAATATAAACAGGTAAGGAGGATGCAGGCACCAGCTAATTAAAATCTATTGTTGTCCCCTTTAGTTCCTTTATAAAAACATCCCATGACAGCTATTTGGAGGCAAAATTTGAATCCGGGTTGGGGGCAGGGGGATGGACTATAGTACCATTACTACACCATTACATACTTTTCATGGTCAGAAACTAGGACCCGTGTGGCCAAGGAACATCAAAGTGTGGTCAAGATGGCAAAAGGTATTAATGTGGAAGAATGCACAAGCTAGGAGAGTCTGCAGCAGTTTGCTTCTGCCTGAATCTACAGGGAAGGACAAGACTCTGTCCCTCTCCTCTCTCCTGCTGAATCAATTGAATGCAAACTTCCTTTGCACTTTGAACTCATTTTGCAGCAACTGAAATACTCTGAGAACAAAGAGGGAAAGTGTGAGGAGAGAGAAACTTTAAAAGCATAGTTTAAAAATATTTTTATTAACACAAACAAACACAAAGACTCATATATGTATGTACCCCCTACTATATAACAAAAACAGACAGACATTACAAATTAACATTTTAAAAAGTGGGACAACAGAGGATTAGGAGAGTCGGAGATTATGTTTCTGTTCAGTCCTTTTTCTTTTCAAGTTGTGAGACAGGCCGTGGTGTGCTGCTGTCACACTTTTCCTCCCACACCTGCTAGTGTGAATCTTGGCACCAGCATTCAGCCTAGGCAAGAGGGATATCTTTGGCTCTGCTCACACGGTGGAGATGAATCTGCATCTGGACTGCACCACTTCGGACGGTGGATGTGGGCTCCGGTTGTCGAAAGCTTCCACTTGAAAAATTATCCACATTTACAGAGTTAGATATCAGGGACAAAGGGGAGTTCAGAAGCCTTGTTACTGACATTCTGGCTTTGTATATGCAGGGAACCCTTGTATGGAGGAAAATTCGGTCATTTGAGAGAGTGAGGCTGCATCTACACTGCAGAAATAATGCAGTTTGATATCACTTTAACTGTCATGGCTTCATCCTGTGGAATCCTGTGATTTGTAGTTTGGTGAGATATTCAGCCTGGTCTGTCAGAAAGCTCTGGTGTCTTGTTGTTGTTGTTGTTGTTGTTGTTGTTGTGTGCCTTCAAGTCGTTTCTGACTTATGGTGACCCTAAGGCTTAAAGAGACCATGAATATGAGTTTGCAGGAGCTGGGCAGAGCAGTAGTGGACAGGGGGGCCTGGAGATGTCTGATCCATAGGGTCGCCATGGGTTGAGATCGATGCGAAGGCAGTTAACAACAACAACAACAATGGCAAACTGATCATGGGGTTTTCTTGGCAAGTTTCTTCAGAGGAGGTTTGCCATTGCCTTCCTGTGAGGCTGAGAGCATGTGACTTGCCCAAGGTCATCCAATGGATTTACATGGCCAAGCCAGGATTTGACCTGTGCCCTCTAGAGTCACAGTCCAACGCTCAAACCACTACACCATGCTGGCTCTCTGAATGGCTTCCCAACCACATTTTATCTACCCCTCCATTCTCACCAAATTACAAATTCCAGGATTCCATTGGATAGAGCTGTGACAATTAAAGTGGAATCAAACTGCATTAATTCTGCAGTGTGGTAGCAGCCCAAGAACCAATTAAGATTCAAATGGATACAGCTTAGATGCAAGTTTACCACCTCGAAGTGAGCTAAGCCCCATTCAAACATGGCCAGCGTGCCAGTGGTCACTAGCTCTGTAATCTCAATTTACTGTATTATGGTTTACTATTAAATATTGTACTGGGATTGGGTTAATATTCCCCTTTGTTTCCATTCATTTTTGCATCCATTTGCAGGGATTTGGGTCCCCATCTGGAGAATATTGGCTGGGCAATGACTTCATCCACTTGCTGACCACACAAGGTTCCTATTCCCTTCGTATCAAACTCCAAGACTGGGAAAACAATGAGGCTTATGCCCTGTATGACAACTTCCAAGTGGGCCCTGAGGAGCACAACTATCGGTGAGCCTTCCTCAAGGAATGTGTGTTGTTGTCTCCTTGTCCAGGCAGAGCTAGCTATAATATTTATAACTACAATAATGTCCAAAATCCACAAAACAGTGTTATCTTCAGTTGGCCATCCAAAATGCCCAAAATGCATGATGCAAGCTTTCAAAGCTCCACTAGCTTCTTCCTCAGGCAAAGGTACCGGTAGTAAGAATCATACAGGAGGGGAAAAAATATAAAATGACAATGTTATTCACAGGTTTGCATTTTCTCAAGGCGTTGTTGGTATTGTACTTTGGAGGAATATCTATGCAAGCAGGTTCCCTCCTCCTTCTGGCCATGTGGCACTGGGAGCAAAGCATTCCCAAATCCAGGAGAGAAAAATCTGAATCCCATTAGCAATGCATAAAATAAATATTTATATTTATAGACTGCCTTTTAGGGTTGGAGCTCCATGTGCCAGTTTCCAGCATATGAATTCGCATCATACAATTGATAATAAGTTTAAAATCATAAAGTCATCTGAAGAAGGGGGCTGAAATCCATTAAATACAAACCAAATAAACCATGTCAGTCTTTAAGATTTCACAATGCTCCTTTATGTTTTTTAAAAAATGAAACACCACAACAATAAAATTAACAAAGCAAGAACCAGTAGTAATACTAATAGCCAACCATGAGTATGAGGTGGGATGGATGAGATATGGGGTTTGGATGGATAAGATATGGTGTTTTCAAAAATTCAAGCAAATATATTTCCTTCTTTCCCAAACTTGGATGGAGATAGCAATGGAGTAAAATCACAAGTGGCATTTTCCAGCTTTATTCTAGTAAAGCTTTTAATGCAGCCTTTTAACTTAAACTTAAATAGCAATTTAACATAGATGTAAAATTATTTCTTTCGCCTTATAATGCAAATATAATTAAATTAGATTTTGGGGGACTTATTAACAAGTAAATCACTTTCCCATCTTTCCAACAAGGAAGTTCTTCATTTGGCTACCTCTGATTCACATGGTTTATTCATATTTCCACCAAAGCCAAACATACAGTGGACCCTTGTTATCTGCTGAGGTTTGGTCCTAGAACCCTTATAGATCCCAGAAAATCCATGGATGTTCAAGTCTCATTCTATACAATGGTATAGTAAAATGGTGTCCCTTATATAAAATGGCAAAATCACGATTTGCTTTTGGGGTTTGCTTCTTTTTGGAATATTTTCAAGCTGTGGATGGTTGAATCCGTGGAAGCCGAATCCGTGACTACGGAAGTCCGACTGTATTTGGTTTCAAAGTTCATATAGGGTTGCCAGAGTGAAAACTGGAAAGGGCTCTTGTCTTTTTAACAGATAGATAGAAGAGGGAATTTCAGCAGATGTTGCTTGTTACCTGGTTGCGTGACAAGCAACACCTATTGAAATTCTCTCTTCTATACAATGAATCAAGACACAGGAACCTTCTCCAGTTTTCACTCTGGCAACCCTAATTTCAGTGGAGAAGTAGGTGATGCCGTTGAGGATTATAATGGCATTGCACTCTCCCTCTGTAGGCTTTATGTGAGGCGATACAGTGGCACAGCTGGACGTACAAGCAGCCTGAGTCCGTCGGGAACAGAATTCAGCACCAAGGATGTTGACAACGACCGCTGCGCATGCAAGTGTGCGCAGATGGCAGGTGGAGGTAAGGAGCAGAAAGGGGAAAGTGTCACACTCAACATTTTTGCACTGTAAATTCGGGTGGCCTGGAGATTGAGCACATCATATGGTTCTGCTTCCATAAGGTGCCAAGATGGAGGGCTATCTTGGGGCTCATACATCAATAGCTCTGAGGTCCATGAAGGAAGAGGGTTTGGGGCTTTAGTGCAGGAGATGAGGAACCTGTGGCCTTCCATGTATTGTCGGACTACAGTTCCCATCATCCTTCATCCTGGGCTATGTCAGCTAGGACTGATGAGAGCTGCAGGCCAGCAACATCAGGAAGGTCAGAGGCCTTCTTGCAGGCCTTCTCTAATTAATAGAATGAATATAGAAGTATGCAAGTAGAAGGTGAAGTCTGACTAATGTGATGAAAAGTGGCTTAGATGTAGGATATATGGCAAGAAACTCAGCTTTAGAGCTGGGAGTCCCTTAAAGAGCTGTCCCTTAACCAGTTGTCTATGGTCCAAATTCCCACGGCTTCCTCATTTGCCATCTTGTCCACATTCTGATGTTGCTTGGCTGCACATGTCCCCATTTACATCTGTGAAATCTTGGAAGTAATCCATGTTATCACATTGCCCACCTGATTCCCACTCCTAGTCAAGACAAAAGTAGACTTGGTGCCAGCAAGTGCAGCACAGAGCAAATTATGGCAAAGAATATCTGCTTAGTCTAGGGGGAACTTTGGGGGATCAATCTGTGAGAAGCAATAGCAATAGCATTTACTACATTTCTACACCTCTTAATAGTAAATTCAGCACTCTAGATGAGATGGTGTTGCAGGTATGAGTGGTTTGCAATCTGTAAACTAATTGCTCCCAACAAGCTGGGGAGTCATTTTCCCAACCTACGAAAGGATGGAAGGCTGAGTCAACCTGGAGCCCTCTGGGATTGATCTCATAATGTTCGGTGGTAATACTGGCATTTAACCACTGCACCACTAGGGCTCCGTAGAGATATAAGAAGAGGTATTTAAGAGCTTTAAGGGGCTGAATATCTTTACGCCTAAATGTTTCTTATCCCTTCTCTTTCCTTTTCTCCAACCCACCCTCTTGATACTCCAGGTTGGTGGTTTGATGCTTGTGGACCCTCAAACTTGAATGGCATTTACTACCCACCCACTCCTGCCCTGATCCGATACAACGGCATGAAGTGGCACTACTGGAAAGGACCCAGCCACAGCCTCAAGATGGCCAGCATGATGGTCCGACCTGTGGATTTCAGAGAGGACTAAGGGAACATATCATAAGTTGCCAAAAGGATGGGATGGATAGACACATTGTGAGAGGTGCCACCAGGACCCCAGTGCAAAGGACTGGGGCTCACTTCAGATGTGTGCAAACTCTCAGTGGAGGACTCTTGGTGTACTATGAGCATCACTAAACATATTCAAGGGTAGATGTGTTGGCCATGTAGCAAAATACAATAATATCCCAACACCAGAAAACAGTGATACCTTTATTGGGCCAACCAAATGCAAGAAAAATACATGTTGCAATCTTTCCAAGTTTTACGGGCGAAGCTTCAAAAACTTACAACATGTATTTTTTTGCATTTGGTTGGTCCAATAAAGGTACCACTGGTTTGTGGATATGGGATGCTATTGTACTTATGAACACCACTGTAGTTCATATTGGTTAGCACAAAGTATTGTTATCACAAGGGGCAGTTGCCACATATTAAGCTCCAGATATCTCTCAGGTCTCCATATGCAATTTTGACTGCCTTGTGAAAATATAGAGCTTGGTCTGGCAACAGAAAGCATATCAGCTGTAGCTTTTAAATATATATGGTGCTGGAGGAATAGCTGAGATCAAAGACATACATTTTCAGTGCTCTCTGTTGATCCCTGATCAGAAAACATGATGCAAATATGCCCCTGTGTGCTCAGGCTGTATAAGTTTGGAAATTAATGCATCCAACCATCCATACATTTTTAGTGATAAGTTTTCCAAAGTCAGTTTTACACTCCAAATATGACTGATACAAGACCTTGAAAAATGACTTTTTAAGAGTAATTAATTGCAGTTCACTAGCTGATTACTGCTACGCTTACCATTTTAAAGGTAGTTTGCTACTTTTTTGTTGTTCATAAGTATTTCCTCCTAGTTGCTTTTTAAAATGTTACTTTAAAAAAGCAACCACATTGCTGATTTCTGATACAAAACACCCTTTGCAACTATAACAACTAAAACAGTTACATGGCAAAATGAGTTGAGCTGTGCTTCAATAGCCATGATCCAACTTGCAGGTGTAACTACTCTAGTGACTTCTTTTTAGTGTAGGAAGTGATTCCCAAATGGCAAAAATGCTTATGTCCTCTAAAGAGTGTTTAGGGGCAAAAAATATATTTATTTTTTGGGAGGGCTGGTTGGTGCTGCCTTCCAAGATATCCTGGCTAATGTGACTCCCACCTAGCCTCCCACCATGACTTAGGTACAGCAAACAGGAATTAATTATAAGTAGCTTGTTTTGTTTGTAACTAGTTACTTTCAAACTCTGATTGTTACCTTTCTGAGAATGTTCTCTGTCTCAGTATTCTCCAAAATGTATATATTGGGGTAGTTCTGAGTTCTAGTGTTATCAGGAAGGGATATTCTCTAACCACCTTCTGCACAAGGTACCTAATTTTATAAATTGTATATATTATGAGGTCTCCAACTCCATAACTCTTTACAGATAAACTATCATGCTCCAGATGCTTCACTCTTTCCTTCTTGGGAAAGAATCCCAGCTCCTTGATCATTTTCAATATCTTTATTTTTTATTTTTTTTGCACCAGCTGTACAAAATCGTTTGGCAAATA